GGAGAACAAATCTGTCGGCCGGTTATTGCCCATCAAGCTACTCTTGATCATCAGTAAAGTGATACAAAGTGTAATCAACAGTGCTATCCAACAGCCCCTGCTCAACAATAAGCTACTTAGTGACGCCCAGTTTTTAGTTCTGCCAGGAGTACTCAGCTTCTGACCACAATCCAGCCTTGGTACAAACATGAACAAAAGAGTTGAATTCCAGAGGTGAAGTGAGAGTGATTTCCTTTGGCATTTTGCCTTTGACTGAGAGTGGCATCAATGAGCCCTAGCAAAACCAGAACAGTGCAAATCAGGGGAAACCTCTCTGATAGTTGGAATCATATCTGGCACATAGGAAGATGGTTGTGGTTTTTGGAGTCATTCATCTCAGCTCTAGGACTTTCTGCAGGAGTTCTTCAGGGTTGTGTACTAGGCTCAACCGTCCTAAGCTGCTTTATCAATGGCCTTTCCTCACCAGAAGATCAGAATTGGGGATGTTCGCTGCTAATTGATGCCTAGCATTGCACATTCGTGGCTCTTTGAGTACTGAAGCAGTGTGTATCCAAATACAGAAGACCTGGACAATATCCTGGTTTGGACTGACAAGTGGCAAGTACCATTTGTGCCACACCAATGCCAGGCAATGACCATTTCCAACAAGAGAGCATCTAACCATCTCCTCTTTATATTCAATGGCATAATCATCTCTGAATCCCCCACTATCAACATCCTGGGGGGGTCACCATTCACCAGAAACAGAATTGTCTACCTGTTAAATACAATAGCTACAAGAGCAGGTCAGAGGCTGGGAATTCTGCAGTGAGTAACTCACCACCTGACTCTCCAAAGCCTGCCCACCATCTACAACATACACTTCAGGAGTGTGATGGAATACTCCCCACTTACCTGGATGAGTGCAGCCCCAACAACACTCGAAGCTTGACACCATCCAGGACAAAGCACCTACTTGATTGACACTACATCCAAAAATATTTAGTCACTCCACGATTGACACTCAGTCACAGTAGTACATACTATCAATAAGATATACTACAGAAATTTGCCAAACATCCTTAGATATCACCCTCCAAAACCCAAGATCAATTCCATCTAGGAGGACAAGGGCAGCAGATATGTTGGAATACCACCACTTGCAGGTTCTCCTCCAAGCCACACACCATCCTGACTTGGAAATATATCAGTGTTCCTTCACTGTCGTTGGGTCAAAATCCTGGAATCCCCTTCCTAATGGCATTGTGGTTCTACCTACAGCATATGAACTGTAGCAGTTAGGGCAATAAATGCTGGTCCAGCCACTGATGCCTAAATTCCATATGTGAATAATAAAAACAAATGTGAGTGCTTTAAGATACATCCTTCCTTCCTTCCTTGGGCTTTTTCATTATCATTCCCTCTCATGTACTTGCCTGCTAGCAATGGACTGGAGGGCACTTTTCTGAATCCGTGTGTGTGCCAAGGTTGGTGTATCATGAATCCTATTTAGGGTGACATTCCTAGTGTACAGAGATAGCAAGAACTGCATATGCTGGAGTCAGAGATAACACAGTATGGAGTTGGAAGAACAGAGCAGGCCAGGCAGCATCAGAGGAGCAAGAAAATTGACATTTCGAGTCGGGACCCTTCTTTAGAACCCGAAATGTAAACTTTTCTGCTCCTCTGATGCTGCCTGGCCTGCTGTGTTCTTCCAGCTTCATACTGTGTTATTCCTAGTGCACAACTCATTGATGAAAGTTTGCGCTTACTTGTTGGGTTATCACGTGATGATCATGCAGGTGGCCACTCTTTCCATGGTTGAAGGCATAATTGCAAAGTTCATGCCTCCTATTCCTGAAATGAACTTTTCCAGTCTTGCTGTAAGCACGCTCGTGTAGCTGAACTGTTGTGTATTCTTTGTTGCTGCTCCAAAGCTAACCCGTTCATCAACTGCTGACAAGACACAACTCCTGTATCCCACTGAACAGAGCTTCTGTCTTGAATGCGGACTCTCTCCCATCCTTGCTTTTTCTATGATGTGGGAGTCATCGAAAGAACGCCCAAATATTTTCCTTACCAGTCCCTTCAACATGAGAATAGTAGAGGTGGAGGACGATCTGTTTGAATCCTATAACAGTGTAGTTTCAGAAGGAATAACCTCTGACAGGTCATTATTGTCCTCCTGGATCACTCATGCAAGATACTTGAAACCCCTATATGAATTCAGAGTTATGTGTTGGAGCAATCAAAGCAAGAATGTTTTATGTGATCAGATCCATTCTGTGGGAAAGGTTATAAATCAACAAAAAGTAGGAGCATGTGAAAAGAATAGAGCAATAATAATGCATGATTTTAATCCTCATGTTGATGGTTAATCAAATTGGAAAGGGTAGCTACAGGAAAAATTCATAGGGTACATCAGGATTAGTTTCCTATAACAATGTGTCATGGAGCTAACCAGGGAGCAGACTGTCTTGGATCTAGTAATGGGTAATGAGACAGGTTTAATAAATGAGCTCCATATAAAACATCCCCTGGGAATTAGAAATCATAACATGATCAAATTTAACATTCAGTTCAAGAGTGGGAAAGTTGGGTGGGAAACATCTGTATTTAACTTAAATAAAGGGAATTACAATGAAATGAGGATAGAGTTAGCCGAAGTGAACTGGGCAGATAGATTAGCAGAAATGTCAGTAAGCAAGCAGTGGCAGACATTTAAGGAGGTAATTCATGACTCAGCAAAAACACATTCCAGTAAGGAGGAAAGATTCTCAGAAAGGGATAAACCAATCGTGGCTAACCAAGGAAGTTAAGGAGAATATTAAGTTCAAAGATAAAGCATATAAGGAGGCCAAAGTCACTGATAGCCACTGGGACTGGGATAAATTCAGAATCCTGCAAAGATAACGAAATAAAATAAAGACAGAGAGAATAAACTACAAGGGCAAACTAGTGAGGTACATAAACACTGACAAGAATTTCTTGAAATATGTAGAAAGGAGAGAGGTCAAAGTGAATATAGGTCCCTTAGAAAATGAATCTGGGCAGACAGTTTTGAGAACAAAGAAAAAAAGGCAGAGGAGTTAAACAGATATTTGCATCAGACTTTACGGTGGAAGATTATTCAAATATTCCATTAATACTAAAGAATATGAAAGTGAAATTAAATACCATCACCATCACTAAAGAGTATTAGACAAGCTAATGGGGCTAAAGACAAGAAGTCCCCTAGCCCTGATGCATTACATCCTAGGATCCTAAAATAAGTAGGAAGGGAAAATAAAACAACAATATTATTTAAATAGAAAAACACTGCAGAAGGCCGCAACTCAAAGGGACTTGGGGGTACTTGTGCGGATACAGCAAGTCATCAGAAAGACTAATGGAATATTGTCCCTTATTTCAAGGATGTTGGAGTATAAGAGTAGGGAAATCTTGCTGCAATTGTACAAGTTTTGCACACCTTATTTAAGGAAAGATATTTCATTGGAGGTAGTTCAGAAAAGATTCACCGGGATGATCCCCAGTATAGAGGGATTATCTTATGAGTAAAGGCTAAACAGATTGGGACTCTAATCACTAGAGTTTAGAACAATGAGAGATGATCTCACTGAAACATACAGGATTTTTAAAAGGCCTGACAGGGTAAATTATGAGAGGATATTTCCCCTCATGGGAGAGTCTAGGATCAAAGGGCATAGTCTCAGAATAAAGGGGTGTCACTTTGAGACTATAATAAGGAACAGTTTCTTCTCTCAGGGTATTATAAAGCTTTGGACTCCTTGTCACAGAAACCTGTGGGGACAGAGAACTTGTGTATATATAAAACTGAGATAGATACATTCTTGATCAGTAGGGGAATCAAGAGTTATGGGGAAAGAGCAAGAAAGTGGGCGTGATGAATGTCAGATCAGCCATGAAAGTCATAATATTGAGTGCTGGAGCAGGTCAAGCGGCCTACTGCTGTTTCTATTTCTTAAGGTCTTATAGGTTTTTTTATTTTATTCATTCACAGGATGAGGGTGTCACTGCTAGGCCAGCATTTATTGGCCATCCCTTTTTCACACAGAGGACAGTTAAGAGTCAACTACATTGCAATGGGTCCAGAGTCACATATAGGTCATGGTAATGTATTAAAGGGAGGCAGTGACACAATTGTTATGTGACTGGACTCGTAATCTACAGCAGCTTATTGAACTTGTTTTCATTTCCAGATTTATTGATAAGATTTTAGTGTCAAAATGGTGATTGTGAAACTATTGTTGATTGTTCTAAAAACCTATCTGGTTCACTATCGTTCTTCAGGGGAGGAAATCTGCTGTCCCTACCTGGTCACGACCACATGTGACTTCAGACCCACAAGAATGTGGTCGATACTGAAATGGCCTCAGCAAGCCACTCATTTCAAGGGCTACTAGGGATGAGCAGCAAAGTCTGACTTAGCCAATGATACCCACATCCCAAGAAAGACTAAATAAAGGAACATGATGGTAGTGATATCATACCAACATGTATAGTGTGTACTATGTGGTTGCCTGATATTTAATTCTGCCATCAGGCAGCTGGGAGGTCCTCTTCTTCCCCCAGTTGCAACAGGCAAGCATGATGATACTTGACTGATGTTCAGTGCTGTCTCCTCTCCAGTTGTCAGCTATAAAATAAATGGGGGCCTACTTACGGATCTCTGCCTTCTGTAGTGTTTTGTACTGTATTCTTTTTTCCGCAAGAAGGGAAAGAAAGAACTTGTGATTGAGTGTAGTGTCATTTGTTGAACAGATGGATGGAGAATGTTTGTTTGTGGGTGACTGGTAGAGAGACATGAAAATGCTTGAAGATTAATTATTTATGGTGAAAGAGCAGATGGGGAATGTGAAGAAGTGTGGAGTCAGAGAAACATGGGTGTATTTTCAATGTACATTGGTGTGAGAAATAAGGAGCTATAATAAACCTGACACGACAAAACACTTAAGGTGTGGCACACATCAGGATGTGGGCCAATGTGTCATTGTACTCACATTTTTTGCCCTGCTTGGTTCATTCAAACTGCTTTCAACATTAAGTCCACTCTCCTGCCCCTCAGCTGGTGAGAAACTGCCAGCCTTCTTTGTTTCACCTGAGGGCTTTCCCCTCCCATCAATAAGGATGAGTATCTGCCTGATGGCCCTCACAGTCCCAGCAACACTTCCCAGAAGGTTTCTGTAAAAAAAAAGTTCAGCCTTTGAACTTTTTCCATTCTGCCAATTCATTTTATTACGCCCTCAACAGCAGAATACATTAAATTGCAAGATTGAAATATTAATGGAATTGAAATCATCCTATTTATGCCAGCATGCTCTCTCTAGTTGTAAAATCCAAATGATATAGCAGTGTAGTGCCTGTATTTAAAAGCCACTGATGGGCACACATTGTTTACTTCTCCAGAGGGCTCCTGAACCCCTCTGTCTGCACTTTTCAGTCGATATAATTCAGTGCCAAATCACCACCTGTCATTGCTCACTTAACCTTTTGGAAAGTTTTCATTTAAATTAATTTAGACTGATTTTTCCTTCAGTATGCCTTGGTGTTTATACATTGCATAATCACATAAACGATGTTTAATACCAAGTGCACATAGAATTCATTCATATGCAAGACCCTCGAGATGAACTTTAACTCTGGCCAAGGTGCATTGACCAAAATGCTCCATGCTTTAAAATAGTTGCAGTATAACTGGAAACAGCATTGTGTGCTAAGTGCACTCGATATGAAAGAACACTTATGACAAATACCCAAAATAGCTGCTGTCCTTGCAGCATAACTGCACTGCTTCATTTTCCTCAGCATTCCCTCAAATTGTAGAATCCCTACAGTGTGGGAGCAGGCCATTCAGCCATCAAGTCCATACCAACCCTCCGAAGAGCACTGCACCCAGAACCTATCCCTATAAACCTACATTTCCCATGGCTAATCCACCTAACCTGCACATCTTTGCACTGTAGAAGGAAACCAGAGCACCTGGTGGAAACCCACACAGGGAGAATGTGAAACTTCCACACAGACAGTCGCCTGAGGGCGGAATCAAACCCAGGTCCCTGGCACATTGAGGCAGCAGTGCTAACCACTAAGCCTCTGTGCGGCCCATAAAATGGAGTAAAATTTTAAAAAGCAGATGTTTATGCCCTTTTCACCATGATTGGTGATCCATCATTGTTCAGTACATCCTTGCTGCATTTGATGCATATGATACTTCTGTAAAGCAGTCGAATGTGCAATCCTTTTTACTTGTATCATTTGCAAAATGCAGTTACAAGTTGGTAAAACTATGTTTAAATGTATCTATTTCTGCATGGAATAGATATTATATCCAACTGGAGCAAGGTGTTAACAGTTTCTTTTAAAAACTATATTCAGTTATGAAGCCGAATTTCTTTTGCACTTTATAGAGCACAAGATACATTTTTATGCTGATTTTGTTAATTTTTCAATTGAAACTGTTAACTTTTTTTAAAAAATTCAAACCTTCAGTTCATAACTGAAAGAGTGACATGTCAAAATTCAACATTTCATGATTTAAACCCTTTACTGTGACAATAGACTGAAAATAAAATTGCTAGAACCTTGTTTTGATTTTGCGAATAGTTTGGACTTTAAATTATACCAATATTATACTTATTGTAGATTACAGTCTTTATGGAACTACAGTCCTTATTGCAAATAGTTCACTGTTGCTCTTAGTTTCCAATAGTTTGTATTTCCCGATCTTGTTGAGTGGTGACATTGAGTGACCACTCCAGGCATTTTCTTTACTTTTAAAGTCAATGTTCTAAATCTGTACTGACAGTAAAGTCTATTTGGATGCTTTTTCTCCAGATCATACCAGAGTGAATTTCCTGAATCCTTAGTTGACCATAAAATATGTCATTTGAACTAGAGATACCTTCCTTCTGCATTTGACAATAGTAGTTCACAAAGCCAATCTGCCCTTTGTTCTATTGACCACATTTCTGACAGATCCAGTTTATAAGGTTTTGGACTAGATCTGTAGCTCGGGTTGTGGGTGTTGAGGTTGGTTGGCTCGCTGAGCTGGTTTGTTGTTCCGCAGACATTTCGTTACCGTGCTTGGTAACATCCTCTGATGAAGCGTCGGTGTATTTTCCCACCTGGTCCATCGCAACGGACACCAGAGTTTAAAAACCAGGCGGGAAAACACACCGATGCTTCATCAGAGGATGTTACCAAGCACGGTAACGAAACGTCTGCGGAACAACAAACCAGCTCAGCGAGCCAACCAACCTCAAGATCCAGTTTATCACTGATCATGAATGGGGATGGGGCGTGGATTGCACATGAGGGAAACCCAGGCTCAGCAGGAGTGTTTGAACTCATTGCTGAATTGAACCAGGCCCCATTTTCACTGCAGTGAAAACCATATCCCAAAATGTGAGAGATATGATAACTGGCATGTATTATCTGAGGAGCTGTCAAGCTGTCATTAAAATCCTCGTGTCTTAAATTTTGAAATGAAAATGTCTGCCTGTCGGTGTTGAAAGGAAAGCTGCTTGGAGTTCCAATAGGTGTGTGTTGACCAGGATAATATTGTCTTCATAGCATTGTTACTATCTGACTGCTTCCACAACCTATCATTATCACAGCGGGTGCTACAATTTCACAGTTTGGTTAGCAGCTCAAATTGATTATCAAGGATTAACAGTCTTTAACATGGGGTTATGATTGCAAAAGGAACAAAGATTCCACCATTCAGGGTACTTTTTCTTGAGGCAGGTGATCCAGAACATTTTCTGAAAGTGCTACATATCTCGGATGTAAAATTCCATGTCTTAGAATCTTCCATAATAAAAGCAAAATGCTGAAGATGCTGGGTATCTGAAATAAAAATAGAAAATGCTAGAGAAACTCAGTAAGTCAGGTACCATCTGTGTAGAGAAACAGAATTGGCTTGCAACTCTACCATGACTTTTCTTTGGAACTCAAACATTTTACTACATTACCTCAGCAACTAGCATTAACTGCCTAGTTGTGTTGCCAAGCAAATTCCAGAATAAGTTACATGACCTCTTCCATCTTACCTCACATCAAACACAGTTTCAAAACATCATAGCCACGTAAACCTTGTAATTGTAACAGTATCTACAAAAATGATTTGAAATATCATTTATTATTGCATGTTGTTTAAAGTGCATAAATTAAAGGACATTTATCTGTGTTTCTCAAGTAACAGCAGCTTTTGAATGTATTTTATCACTTTTTTCACAAAGGTATCATCTTCTTTCTTCTTTCTTCTTCCATTTTATTCGAGGTCACTGCAGTGCCAGTTGATTACCCATCTCCAACTCTTTCTGTTATCCACCTTTTTTTTTCTAATCCCAATACATTTATGCCTCTCATAACAACATCCATCCATCTAGTTTAAGACCTTCTATCATAAGCCCAGCTGATGTCATAACTGGACAAGTCGGATCACAGACAGAAATCTGGCTTGATAGATCATATTTTGTTACTTTAGTTTTAACAAGATGGTCTTTCACTGAAACATAAGCATGCAATGTTGCCGATTCAGTTTTAAAAGTTAGATGCAGAAGATAATATACAATTAAACAAGTTATTTACATAAATACAAGTTTGAGGATTTTAAAATTCATTGTAAAAATATTATGCCACCAATCCCAAAAGTTTTGCACGGTACTCATAACAGAAATAATTCCCTTTTCGATCACATTTATAGGGCTCAAATTAAGTGGCTTCCAGTCTTGAGAATCTGACTGCCTCTTCCTGTAGCCTTCAATCAACTGGACCTCAACTTTTTTAGATTCAAATAAACCCCAACTTCAGTCAAGAACCCTGACAAAGTTTTCAAACTGAAACTAAGCAAAGCTCTCTTTACTTCACCCAAGATTTTTTTCATTTAACCAACAAAAAAACAAATCGCCTTCTAAACTGGAGACTAATGCATAATTGTTTACTTTGTCCGCTGGTAAAATTCTCCCAATGTAAACAAAAACCCATTATTTTCCAGGAAGTCTTTATCTTATACTGTTTTAAAAGAAATTACCATAGCTACGGGAATACAAGTTAATTAGCAAATTTGTTCTAATGCACAGAAAACCCACATGCTGTTAGTTTGAATTGACAACTTCAAACTCAAAACTGAATTATATTAAAATATATAAATTAGACATTTTACATGACAGCTCTTCAAGTCTTTCCTAGAAGACCCCTGCCATCACTTACCTCACTACATTATCCTTTTCTCACTCTCTCTCTCCCCGCACTCATGACCACACCATTTCAATTTTTTATCAGCTCTGTTTTTCATTGGTCCCACAATCTTCACTAACTCTAATGTGCTGGTTCCTGATATTTTCCTTTTTTTTTTACTGGATATAACTATCTCAGCATCAGCATCTCATAACTAACCAGTTGTTGTTCCTATCTTCCTAATGTTGTTTCAGTTTTTTTCCTGTAGCAAAGCTGGTTTCACAAATACCTTGATTTTTCCATTCATTTTCAGCAATATTTTTCCATTATAGAACACGTTGCTGCACTTCTTCTGATAACTCCACTCAGAGCTAATTAATTGCTTACTTTCCATTCCATGCGTCATCTCCTGCCACTGCTGACAAAGAGGTACTTGAAATGACACACAACGTCGCCACAGTATTCAAGTTCATATATGGAGTCAAATCTTGCTAACATGTTAACAATGCACTACCTTTCGATGTACACGTTGTTCCAAAAGTAGAGAAGATTAATAATCTGCAATGAGATAAGATTCTCCAGCAATTACTGGCTAGTTTATGTGCTCGCCTGTTTGCCCTGTAAAAGTCATCTCCCCCTTTGCTTCCTCTTTAGTTGGAAGAGCTTGCTGTATTTGCTCATTAAATGTCCATTAAACTCATTGCAGAGAGTTAGGTCTCATAATTAATGGCACAAGGTACCCTTTTAACAGCATGGTAATTGTTATTACAATGCCAACCAGTCTCTTGAAAGGAAACAAAACAACTCAATCCATGGAGTCAAGGACCGATGTGGTGCAATGGTAGTGTCCCTATGTTTGGGCCAGGAAACCTGGGTTCAAGTTCCACCTGCTCCAGTGGTTTGTAATAAGCTCTCAGAGAATGTTGATTGTAAAATATTTTACTGGTGGAATTGTATTTCTGTGTGTAGTAAGTTAGTATTAGAGTTTTAATAACTTGGATTTTTAAAAAAACGTACTCTTTCTTTCTCTACTGTCTTAATCCAACCATTTCCCACTCTCTTTACTTCTCTTTGACTGTATGAATTGATTCTAACTCAAAAGCATTGTTTGTCCATCCTGTTTTTTTAATTCATAAAGTCATGTCAATTTGGACGAAGCACAGTGGCTCAGTGGTTAGTATTGCTGCCTCACAATGCCAGGGACTCAAGTTTGAGTCCAGCCGCAGACAACTGTCTGTGTGGAGTTTGCACATTCTCCCCATGCCTGTGTGGATTTCCTCTGGGTGCACCAGTTTTCTCCCACAGTCCAAAGATGTGCAGGTTAGGTGGACTGGCCATGGGAAATTGCCCATAGTATCCAGTGATGTGCAGACTAGGTAGATTAGCCATGGGAAATGCAGGTTACAGGGATAGAGTAGCAGAGTGAGTCTGAAATGCTCTTTGGAGGGTCGGTGTGGACTCGATGGGCTGAATGACCTGTTTCCACACAGCAGGGATTCTGTGGTTCTAAGGAGATACATTGTTGGTGCCACCATTTACTAATCTCTGAAATACGCCATTATCCTCACTATGCTGTTAACAGGTCACACTTCCAGCAAGTTAAAGTGCAAAATATTTATAATTATAAGTTCAACTAATAATCATGAAATCTCTCACCCAAGCAAGCTCTGTCCCTTAATTGTAAACAGACAAAATGAAGCATATGCCCTGAATATAACCAATAAATCAGAGTTTTTGAGGAATTAAGTAACCTGATTGACAAGAGTTTTGGATTTTCTGAGTTTGTCATAGTGCTGGGAGGCTCCAAAAATACATGTCACTCCAGCTATCTGTATGACTGCAATTGTCAGCTATTACTTGGAATTAGTTAACTAAACTGAAATTTTTACAGAATAGACATCAATGTTTTAAAAGCATAACTTGTAAATAGTGAGTAATCTTACTTTATGATGTTCTTGTTTCCTAACTGTACTTTGTATAATTAAATGCGAGCTGCAGCATTACATTTGAAGATTAGAAATGGATCCATGTGCAGTAAAATGATGGAACAATATAACAAAGGAATAAGACATTGGTATTGATTTTATGCTTTGAAATTTATATTTGTATTTTAAACATCGACTTCTGTGCTGCTGGACAAGTCCTATCAAAGAACTAATTTATATTTATGTAGCACATTTTATAACCTCAAGATCCTTCAGCATGCTTCCCATCCAATTAACCATTATTTTGTCGGTAAATGCAGCAACCAACTTGTGCAAGGTGAAATTGCGTTAACAGCAACAAGATAAATGACCATAATAATACAAAACAAAGAACTGCAGATGTTGGAGATCTGCCACAAAAACAGAAACTGATAGAGAAACTCAGCAGGTCTGGTAGAATCTGTGGGGTAAAGACAGAATGAATGATGAAGAGTCACTGGGCTCAAAACATTAACTCTGCCTTCTCCTCACTGCTAGACAAGAGCATTTTTTAATTCATCCTTAAGGTGGAGTTGTCAATGGTTAGGCCAGCATTAATCGCCCATCTTTAATGTCCAGCGGGCAGTTAAAAGTGAACCACATTGCTGTGGGTCTGGAGTCACATGCAGGTCAGACCAGGTCAAGATTTCTGTTCCCTAAAGGATATTAGTGAACCAGATGGGTTTTTCCTGATAATCAACAGCAGTTTCATGGTTGTTATTATACTCTTCATTCCAGAAATTTAATGAATTCAAATTCTACCATCTGTCATAGTGAGATTTCAACCTGGGTCTCTGGATTATTAGATTAGGGTAATCAATTGGTGATAATCATCAACTCATAGAATCCCTACTGTGCAGAAAGAGGCCATTTGGCCCATCGAGTCTGCACTGACCCTCCAAAAAACATCCTACCCAATCCCCGTAACCTTGCATTTACCATGGCTAACCCACTTGTCCTGCATGTTCCTGGATGCTACAAGGCAATTTACCATGGCCAATCCACCTAACCTGCACATATTTGCATTGTGAGAGGAAGTCAAACCACCTGGCAGAAACCCACGCTGACACAGGGAGAATGTGCAAATTCCACACAGTCACACCATGTTGGAATCCTTGGTGCAGTGAGGCAGCAGTGCTAACTACAGAGCCACAATACTGCCCACACTTACTGTCCTATTGTTGTCTGAGGAATAATTTTGGCCAAGAAAACAGGCAAACAGGGGTTGGGGAAGCAGGTGTTTGGTATGCTTGCCTTTATTGGTCAGTGCATTGAGTATATGATTTGGGAGCGCATGTTGCGGCTGTTGGTTAGGCCATTTTTGGAATACTGCATTCAGTTCTGGTCTCCCTGTTGTAGGAAAGAGGTTGTGAAACTTGAAAGGGTTCAGAAAAACTTACAAGGATGTTGCCAGGGTTGGACGGTTTGAGCTATAGGGAGAGGCTGAATAGGCTGGGGCTATTTTTCTGGGAGGACAAAGATGAGGGGTGACCTTATAGAGGTTTATAAAATCATGAGGGGCATAGTTAGGGTAAATAACCAAGGTCTTTTCCCCGGGCTGGGGGAGTCCAAAACTAGAGGGCATAGGTTTGAAGCGAGAAAGGAAAGATTTCAAAGGGACCTAAGGGTCAACTTTTTCACACAGAGGGTGGAGCGTGTATGGAATGAGCTGCCAGAGGGAGTGGTGGAGGCTGGTTCAATTACAATGTTTAAAATGCATCTGGATGGGCACATGAATAGGAAGGGTTTAGAGGGATATGGGCCAAATGCTGGCAAAAGGGGCTAGATTTATCTAGGATATCTGGTCGGCATGGATAAGTTGGACCAAAGGATCTGTCTCCATGCTGTAACTCTATGTCTATGGCTCTACATTCATTTTGTTTCATTTAACATTCCATCCAAACAGTTTAAATCTGACACAAAAACAGAACTGAGGAAGGGTTATCGGACCTGAAAAGTTAACTCTGATTTTTTCTTCACAGATGCTGCCAGACCTGCTGAGCTTTTCCAGCAACTTCTGTTTTTGTTCCTAATTTACAGCATCCACAGTTCTTGCAGTTTTTTTTAGTCTAAATCTAACAATTGGATGCTTATTTTAACAACTGTATGAAAGAGAGGAACTTACAGAACTGTGGGAACAGTAGAATGAAATGGATTGTCTCTAATTACACTGGGAAAGTAGAGATGTGAACTTAATTGGCCATTTCGCTTATTGTGCTGCAACACTCGATATTAGTGATTATTTATATTCAAGAGGTTAGTGATGCCATTCCTTTAATTAGCCAATCTGGGCTGGATTCTAGGCCAGACACCAGAGATTCCAATAAATAGTACCAAACGGTCCATAAAAGGGTGGATATTCTATTCTTGATTTAGACATAAGGCTGGTGCTTTGGGCTTCTGTGCCCATAAGCCTGGTACTTCCTGAGATTGACATAATTTTTGAAGTATAGTGACAGTAGCAATGTAGGGAAAGTAGCAATCAATTTGTGCATAGCAAGATCCTACAGCAACAACACAATAATGAGCAGATAATTTGTTTTAATTATGTTGGTTGTGAGATAAATACTGGGCAGGACACTGTAGAGAGTTCCTTTGCTTTGAAAGCTAATTGTGTAGATAATATTTCCTTTCCTCTAGATTGGACAGGATACTTAGTAATGATACCAAGACTAAAAGGACAATTCCTGAACTCTCTATACGACTCAACACCATCTAAGAGACACTTTTAAAGTTTTTAAGTTTTTTCAATTCATTACTTGAAACAATCAAACTCAAGATCCCAATCTTGTACATGGTCAGTTTCAGAAGCATATGACAGTTTGGGAAATCTGATCATTTGAAGCTAGATGAGGGTGCTTCATTATTTACAGCAAACTAGCCAAATAGTATTAGGGAAACAGTGAAAATATTGACTTGAGTAATTCAATGTATTTGTAGAGCTTCCAGCAACATTTTTTGTTTCTTTTTAGTAAAGCCTGTGTCAATTTTTTTTCAGAGGAATAAATAGTTCAAATAACATTTATCGTGTGAAAATTAATATTATCGCATTTATTCAAATCTAGGATGGTTATTATTACAAGGAAACAGGAAAACTGAGCCAGACACCTGATGTGCCGGAAACGAGGCTTCAAAACATGACTGAAGTCATTATGCCAAGAAAATGTCAACGAATTAAACATTCCTCCTGTCACTAATTAAAGTGAATTTCAATAAAGAAAGATAAACATGTACATAGAACCTTTTGCAAACACAGGACCCCTTAAAGCTCTTCACAGCTAATGATGCACCTTTTGAAGTGCAGTCGCTGTTGTAATGTGAAAAACATGGCAGCCAATATGCGCACAGCCAGCTCCCGAGCGCAATAATGTGATAATGACCAGATATAGAATGATAACAACATAGAAAATAGAAGCAAGAGTAGGTCATTTGGCCCTTCG